TCTTATTTCACTACGTCACACTACAATAAAGGGCTTCCTCTAAGAGTGTTCTAAACAAGTTTTGCATAGTGTAGTGGAGTATTATTGATAGTATTATCATATTTGTCATTTTTATTATTAAGATTATTATTACAATAATTATTAATATTATTGATGCTGGAGTTCCGTAATTACCTAATAAAGATGGTAGGTATCAGTTAAATATAAATACCCTGCAGGTTGCAACCAGCTTTCTAAGCATTCTTTAAGCAATAAGGGTGCCTCTATATATAACTATAAGGGTGCCTCTAAAACACTGCGTAAAATATGGGCTGTTTTATACTCTCCACTTCCTTTCATTGACCTGCGAGTTATGTATAATATCGGAACAAATCGCCAGTAACGCCTGTATTTTTACGCCCAATATTCTGCTGATCTCGATTTCCAAACTCTTCTTATTTAAGATGTTTCTCTGACTTTTTGATTACGACGTTCTGGTCGCTCGTACAAAAATATCTATAAGCAGACTAGTAGAAGACGAGTTTTCCTCCAAATTTCGAATAGCCATAGTGATTTGTTTGCTACTATTGTGAAATCGGTTTGTGTTGTTGTTCGTACAATATTTTACAGTTCAACAGACGTAACAATTTTTGGTGTTCACCAAACGGTAACACTTAGAACACGTGTTTGGACGTTTGAGAGATTTTTATATATCTGTCAGTGGAGATAAATGCAGACCCAACCGTGCCTTTTCAGGTAATCTGACTTAACGAGAGCTGGAAAAGGTGGGACGAACAGGATCAATTGCTTCTATCTGTACCTGACTTACGACATATCTTGGGATATTTCTGAGAAACGCCATTATTACAATGAATTTTAATGCCTAAGCAGCTATTACAATTTCATCGAATACTCGTTTCATTTTTTCCCTTTTAAGACCCTCAAGTGATTGATCCTTCATGACCTGTAACTTATTCATTTCATTAGCGGTAATAAATAATAATAATAAAAACAGGCAAAATAAGATATATACGTTTGTAATGTCTTTATAAACTTCTTTTTTTAATTGGCGCGTCATTTGCGCAGTATAAAGTTTAATAATAATAATAATAATAATAATAATAATAATAACACAGAATTCGTATTAAAAAATTGAGATATTCTAAAAATGTTTATATTTTAAATTTATTTTTATAAAAAATTAAATATATTAAATTTTAATACAAATCAAATTAAAAAAACATTTTCGTTGGGTAACTTCCAACTTCATATGACGTAAAAGAAAGAAAAGAAAGAAATAATTGCGATTTAGAACAGAATATTTTCCAGTAAACATGTAGATTTACTTTTAAATGCTCAAGTTTTCACACAATTATCGTGTTCATCAAGAGAGTTAATTTTGTAGAATCTAATGAACTCTCTCTCTCGGGTATATCTTGGAAGAAAATGAATGCAAACATCAGGAAACAGTTGACATTGATTTAATATTTTTTGCAGTGCCGTTTATGAAGCCTATGATCATCAATAGTCCTATAACAGCGCCAACATTTTTTCCCAAGAGTTGTTAAGTACCGAAGTGATGAAATACAAGGAACAAAACATTTTTTGTGAAGAGTTAAGTTTCCTATTTCTTTTCCATCGTTGCAGCCTAGTATTGTATTAAAATGAGAACATTACCCAAGCCATGACTACGCAACACTGACGTTTTACTTAGACGCCCGTGGGAAGACAGTGTGCTGACGACAATCAAAATGAGATGTAGAAGGACCTGCTCTCTTTCTCTAGAACTGTTCCAAATTATTTCAAAATGCGTTCGGAAAAAAACAAGCCAGGCACGAATCGCAAGGGAGGACGAACGGACGACGGACGGACGGAGACCGGTCGAATGAAGGAGCGACGGGCAGAGGATGGACGGACGAAAAACGGACGGAGAAAGGAAATATTGACGGAAGGATGAGAAGACGGGAAGGCGGACGAATGGATGCTATGTATAGCTGGGTCTCCCGTTCTGAGAGTTCGCGTCCAGCCCGCTGCGACCGCTCTCTCCTGCAGCGGTTCACCCACTTGCGCGTTCCTCTCCCCCCACCCCGCCTCAACTGGATTCTCCGCAAGTGGTACACGTTGGGCCACATGGAGATGCAAAGAATCCTAAATTTTTGAATGCCAATAAGAAAGCCTATACAAAAGCTATCATATTTATATTAATGTCCATAACACCTTTGTTATCAATAAATTAGCATACATTATTTAGAAGAATAAGGAAACCTGAGAATCCCTAGGTTGGTAACGGCCTGTCATTATGGAGTATTGCCCTTATTAATATTCCCACAACCGGGCAATGTTTGTGAGTTATTTTTCTACAATTATTTACACCAGGAAAGTTCTCAAGGTTACACTTGTGTCTAGTTTATTGTTACGCTGCATTGTTAATATTAATTACCTAAATAATAAATTGTACACAACAATAAATAGTACGGAAACGAAGCCTGGGGGAAAATCGAATTTAGAGACAAGTGACACTGCGATTAGTTTAGTTAATGTAAAATTAATAATTATAAGAATACATGAAGAAATGCGTTGTGTATAAGTTGTACATTCAAGTTCTAGATAAGCTTAGGAGTTCCACATGGCTAATATGGTTTTAATGGCATTGTTTTTCTCATACGTCTGTAAGTCCGACGATTCGTATGATGTCCGCGCGAAATTTGGCATTTTCTTTTTTTTCGGAATTTCCTTTGAATTGGGAGGACGCGAGAACTGCCTAACGTATTGTTTGCGAAGGAGTCGTGGACACGGAGATCGCCACGCCAGATGGAACCCATGCAACGCGACGGGTCTCGTTTCGCTCCCTCCGAACCCTCCCGCCTGAACGCGAGCATCGTAGCAGAAATGCAGTTAGAAGAAACAGCGAGACCGGCCGGAGATACGACATTAAAAATGCTGCGCTGCAAATGCAAATGCAAAGCGCGGGGTCACAGTTCAGGGTCACCGCGCGGGAAGGAGCTCGAAGACATTTAGAATGCTTTCAAGATCCAATGAATGTCAAGGGTCGGTCACCCACTTTGACAGTGAACTCTTCGCGAGATCTCCGACGCCTCAGACCATGACAACTCAACCAAGGGCTCATACTCCTAGAATCTCATCAACAACCTTCAATCAGGATATTGCGAGCTTGCCCCTCACAACACCACCCTCGAATCTGTTTTCCCCACCCCTTTCGTAAAAAAACCCTACACATTTAATTAAAAAGGGTTAATTTTTGTAGAATATTTTTTTTGTAGAAATGCAAATGAAAATTTGTTTACAATTTTACAGACACAAACATACTTCACGACACTTTTCCGAACAATTATTATTTTCGGAAATCATTTTTTTTTGTTCATTTCGCTTGTGGCTAAGTCCAGCCCTACCCCTTCATTTGAGCGTCCGGCGTGGCGCCGGGCGTGTGTCGGAGAGCAACAGGGTGTACTCACGCGACGTCCCTGGGCAGCGTGACGAGGGCGACGTACAGCCACTGCATGGCGCCGCTGGTGATGAACAGCACGAGCAACCCGAGGATGCCCAGCTGCAGCACGAAGCCCGGCCCGAAGAAGCCCAAGAGGACGGCGGCCAGCAGCAGCGCCGCCGAGCACAGCACGATCATCGCCACCGCTCTGCGCACCGAGTGCTGCGACCGCGCCTGCGCACCCGGCCCGGCCAACGCCGCCGCCCCCGCCGCCGCCGCCGCCCCCGCCGCCGCCTCGACGTCATCCGCCTGCAAGCACACGGTGGGCCCCGTCAGCGCCCGCGCGGGCCAACGCTATTCCACTCGCTCCAACTAGCGATGCGGCACCGAGAACAGAACGCCCAAATTAAACCAGCGGGAGAGGTGGCTCGGGGCATCAGTTAATGCCACTGCAGTGCCTCGGACCGGGAGGTTCCAGGTTCTAGTCCCGACACTGGCAAGATTATCGACTCTAGCTAGATTGCTAGGTTGAATTCGGTCCTGGAGGAGAATTCTAGCGGTCGACTGATCTGATCGGTAGTTTTCCGTAGTGTCTCCTACCAACACCAGGCGAATGCTGGGGCAGTACACTAATAAACGTGCCACAGACCGCGGGCGATCTTTCCTGCTTCTCCTCACTCATTACACACACACACACACACACACACACACATCACTTATGGGACTAAAGACCTTGGCAGTTGACGCACCCGAAATCAAACAATCAATCATTTCAAAATAAACCTTTGATGTTAATAATTCATAAATCAACCATTGGTGTTTTTAAGCATCGGTGTTTTAAAGCTGATATAGTAATATTCAGGCGTAACAAAATTTAATTTGACCATCTGTGGCCACCGTTATTAATTCATAATTAAGATTCACACTTACAAATAAAATTAAAGAATAATAAGAACAATTAACGCTCTACATGCAAATGTAGAAAGTTCGAACAGGGTTCGTTTGTATCGAGCACATAAACGGACAGTGGTGCCATCGGTTATTATTTCATCTTTCAACTTTAAAAAATTTCCATATTCAGAATTTTATGGTTCTCTAACAAAACATCGAAAAACACAAAAACATTCATGATTTAAAAACATTTATGTTTGCATAAAAACATTCGTGATATAACAACAATTATGTTTGCATAAAATCATTCATGATTTAAAAACATTTATGTTTGCATAAAAACATTCATGATTTAAAAACGCCGTCATTGAAGTCGCATCCTTAATTCGTTCTTCACCCGCAGGTCAGAAAGTGTCCAGCCAGGAAGTGTTTCCGGGGTGGAGAGCATGTTCAGCAAAAACAGTAAAAGAAACAGAGAAAGTGTGTAGAAGCAATTTCAAAAATTTTGGGAAGAAATAAAATACAAATGGCCTGCACGAACTACAAATGAAGGAAGTACACATAGTGGCAATTAATATGCGAAGGTTAGATAGTGAGTACAAAGAATATGCTATCAAAACTATGAGGAACGATACCACCAAATTTATGCAGGAAAATAATGAGCACACACGTGTTCAATTCATTCGACATTGGCGTATCCCGCTGCTAATTTAGCTTGTACATCTTCCACTTCAAACACTTCCACGGAATACTATGACAAAGAAAACTCAACTTCCTACAACTTTATTGTGTTTTTAATAAATATTCTTGTAAGTAGCTTTTTTATAATCGTTTCTTGAAAGCTTTATTAACATAAAAACGAAATATATTTGAAATCATGTTCTGCATTAAATTATTATTTTAGTTGATTATAAGTTATTTCAGGAAACAGTGATAACTCCAACCTGAATGCAACTGTCACACATTTTGAGTAATATTTCTCTGTTTCGTAATTAGTATGATTTAAATTATCCATTGAATCCATGCAATGTCTTGGTTCGTGAAATAGTCACACTAAATATCACTAAGTGTTGTAACAGACGGTACATTCTCTCCTCGCTACGCGAGTCCTGAGTTTACTGGCCATCACAGCACTTCCCGTGATAATACTTAAGAAAAATCGCCATTTTCAGCGGCAGAATTATAATACTGTCGGTTGACTACTGTAATATATCATATTACATGCATTTTAATATCGTTTACTATTTATGTGGAAACACTTTGGACGTGGCGTGGAGAGATAAACGAACGAATGTAGTAGGATTTGGAAGGAGGATAAAACTAAGATCGTGAGAGGACATTCTTTTGACTGCATGTTTATGTCAATCTTTTTACAAGTAATAGTTACGTGATATCTGTACTAATATAAAAGACACTAGGGCGTTTCGTTACAGAGCGATAATCTTTGAGTGCACTGGACGAAGAGTGATGAAACTTGTGAGCTAGCTTTCTTTGAAGGTTAGGTGTGCTACGAACTATGATTTACAACCTTAAACCTTAATATATTCACAAATTAATTACTCTTCTGAACTTCTTTCGACTAGCATTGCATCACAGATTTAAGAGTGCATAAATGTGTAATAGTTCAGCTGCGCGTCACTAGAGAATGACAATTGAGGTCTACGATTGAGTTCATCAATTCATAGAATTGCGTACATATGTAGAATGGCTGAGAACTGCGTTGATTTTACCGTCATTTGTCTTAGGTCAAATGTTTATATTTAAGAATGATTGTTTCTCTTCACTCTATTGATAAAAGTAATTAGGATATGGATTTTAATTGCATGTAAGCGTGAATGTATTATGGGTACGAGAGAGGAGTACACGTATTCATATATGAAATGTTTGGAAAACGACATTTTGCTCATGGATGTTTGATATTGTCGTAAAAGTATATGAATGCACACAAATGTTATAAATAAAATGGTTACTGGTTTAGTTGTACATTAAGTTTGATTATTACATATTTGTGAGAGGGACGTGGTGGAACGCAATGGGTCGGATTGGACGGGAAGAGTGAAAGTGAAACTTATGAATGATTTACGTGTTAGGCTAAAAGTGTGGCAGATGGATGAATTGTTGTAGGGAAGTCTTATTATAGTGGTGAAAGCATACCTTTGGCTGATAAAGAAATAATCACTGTGTGATCTGGGATTTTTGGAGGTATTATAATTGTCTAAGTGGTTAATGGCACCTCTCTGTCAGCCATTAGGGAGTTTTAGCACCACGCATAAGGTAGCGGCATTATACACTAACAGACACGTGACAGACCCGTGACGTGACAGTCATAACGTCTTGCCTTAGGCCTAAAGTATGATGTATATCTTCATAAATAGTACACACCTGTAGGAATCTCAATGATCACCTTACAAGCGGTTAAATGGTCGCCTACAAATAGGAAAAGTTGAATGTTTCCAACAATTATAAATCGATTCTCGTATGTAAGGGAGATACAATTATTCCTTACCAATTCCACAACGCTGGCAAGAATTAACGGGATATGTTGAAGCAGTAAAAGGAAAGAAATACATGAAAATGAAGTTCAAATCATATTTTCGGGATAGGTTGTGTCTTATACTCATAATTAACGTTCTTTAAAATATTCCTGTATTTTCAAGAAAAGACGATTTAATTTTGGACTGCATACTCATCATGGGGGGCCACAAAATCTAAAACACCATGCACAATGTATATTCGTTATTCTGTTGATTCTCTAATGTGTTTCAAATGCCTCACCACTAGCCTACACTCTTTGATATAATATGCAATTGCTCTGTTCAACGCTTGAAATACTTCCTTTGTTATATTCCATAACGCAATGTCGCAATTGTTAAAACTTCTGAACGTTGTTCATTACGACCGTATAAAGCCGTTAGTCACGTGATCAATAGAGTTTAAGGATATCTCCTTACGGCTGGCGCTAAAACTCCCTATTGCTAATTCTGAATGTTGTTCATTAGACCGTATAAAGGCGTTAGTCATGTGATCAATAGTTTCAGGATATCTCCTTTCGCCTGGCGCTAAAATTCCCTACTATTTATCACGGACCCTAAAACGTGAACTCTAATTTAATTAAAATAGTTTTATTTATATTTATATTTCCATTGCATCAAAGATAAATTTTAAAGTTTTCTTTATAAATACGCTACATGAACAAATATGAAAAAGAATATTTTTCTAATGTGGCAATAGATTCAAAGTATGAGAATACCTAAACTTCACAAAAATATAACACAAATACATATATTTTACTTTTGTGTTTAGATACTTGTATTATTTTTATATATAGTTAGTGAAGTTTGGAAGCGGGAACCTCAATTTAAAAAAAAATACAAACGTTTTCAATAAGAAAGTGAGTGAGGAATACAAGGTATTTCCAAGTGGGAGAAAGGCAGAGAGGTTGGGCAAGACGGAGCGGGGATACAATAGAACATATACAAGTAGGCTCCACGGCGGGGCAGGAATAGATGGAATATTTCCTGTCTAATAAATTATTGTGACTCATCCACTCGTGAAATTAAAACAAATAATATTTAACTCTACATTCAAAATGCCCCAATGAGGGCGGTGTATCTCAAAAAGTGTATCGCCTTTCCTACCCGATTTTTCTTACCGCTTCTTCGTACTGGCTAATCATAAACTGTGACTCGTCTATCTAAGGTGGCGGTGTACTACATCGATCGCAGTGTCGTATGTGATTGTAACATAGCTTTCAGTTATTTTCAATATTTGCCGCATTTTGGAAATCTGTTTTACATAATTTCACTCGTAGAAGAGTCCCATTAAAGACTACTCGTTCTTTAGAAATGCTCAGGTAAACCCCTTCGATTCGGGAATTTATCGACAATTTCCGAAGCACTCGTATTATCAATGATATATACCCCGGCAACGCGGGGTACTTATGATAGTAAATGATGTATAGGAAAAGAAGAAGAACGTATGGAATCTGGAAATAAATTATGACAAGTTATATTGGGTGGCTAAAGTTGTGATTATGCGAGTAAAAGAAGCTTGCGTTATGTGAACAGGAAACACGCGAGAAGAAGAAAAGATAAGTCATGCATGCATTGATATAATATACTGATAATTAAAACATTGTTATTAATTCAAAGAAAGATAATAGACCTTAAACAGAATGAGGATATTTATTGTAAAATATAGTTTGTTTTGTTCTTCAATTTTTATTGTTCATGTGCATAACTAATTAACATAATTTGATTTGTTCAACATAGAAACTAGTGATATTTATTTTTTAGGAATAGTAACTTTATTCATCTATTGATGACCATTCTTTCATCACTGTCCAATGTTATCCGCATGGAGACATTCTAAAATAAAAAATTCATGTCCTGAGAATTGATTAATACAAAAATATGATG